ATACCACCTCTACCACGCTCAGTTCAACTGACACTGCAAACACTGGAATTCTTTCGAGAATTTAGAACAGAATTATTAACAGCACACCACACTCTAATTATTCGTGGGGAAACAGTGACCTTACACTGTTTAAGAAGGCACATAAGAAGGGCAAATGAAAATATGACACACCCCTTTCGACCACCTGTTTTAGAAAGAGTTATGGTTCATGTGAATGATTTTGTACGCGTGGTAGTTGAACGACCGAACCACAACAGACCCATTTGTGTAGAATTAGGTTTATTGCTAGAACGATTTATAACAAGAGGCGTGGCGATCGAACCGGTAAACGAAGAATAGTTCCAAGAAATAAAAACATACATATATATTAATATTATTAAATTATAGTGTTACTGACCCTTAAGTAATAAATTTTATTTTAGCTCACAGATCCGTTTTTTCTTAGTGGATTTCGAATTCTTTACGGCAAGTAAAGACGAAACATTATTAGTATCCGGGGTGATTTCGAATAGTTTTGAAAAATACCAGCCTAAGAAATTGGAAGGAGGTCCTCTTATACTTACGAAAATAAGTTAAAGAGATTCCGGCGTTGCGATCTTAAGAGGATGTCAGCGCACTATTTGTTTTCTCTCTCTGACCCACGTGCAACATAGACAAAACACATTTACGCAGAAACATTTTTTCTATGTTTTTAAGTAATCTTAGAGTAAAATCACCCATAACAAAAAAGATAGAGAATAATATTTTTGAGGGAATGTCATATCGATTTGTCTAAATATTGTCTCAAAACAATTTAAACATCATTTTAATGTACAACTTTTTTTGTTTATTTTGAAAGTCGAATACAAAGTCAAATAACAATAAAATATAAAATCGATATGTCATTCTCTCAAAAACATTATTCTCTATCTTTTTTGTAATAGGTGATTTTACTCTAAGATTACTTAAAACATAGAAAAAATGATTCTGCGTTCATGCGTTTTGTCTATGCTGCTCGTGGGCCAGAGAGAGAAAACAAATAGTGCGCTGACATCCTCTTAAGGATATTGTGCAAACAATCAAACGAGTATTCCGAGGGAAAAAGCAAGCGTGATTGCACCACTGTTGGACCAGTTATACAAAAGTGTAAGCCACCAGGGGGAATAAATCTTGTCAACGGTTTACTTGCAAAGATATTTGCACATAGACAATAGGGATCCAATAATAGTTTTCTGAAATGGAACGACGGATATAACATTAATTAAACGGTTAAGAATAAAGGGTATTTTAGCATTTTTAAATATATCAGCATATAGTATTAAAAATAATGATGAATTGAATTTAGAACTCACAAATTTAGAAACTAAAGAATTTTTATATTCAGGGTATTTAGGAAAAATGAATAAAAACGGCAGAATGTTAGGACTATCAGAAGCGCATGGATTAATGTGTGATACTAGTCATAATATTACGTATTGTCATTTATAATAATTATGATATCAGTTTATTCTGCAACAAAAAACTTTCACAAAATGAAATTTATGACTTATTAAATAAAGTTTGGAGACCGGAAATAAATTATAAATTTCCGATAACATCAATTACTTCTGGAAAAGACCAAAAAGTAAGAAATCTTAAATTTCAATATGCATGGTTAGTGCGATTTCCTTGGTTGTCGTATTCAGGAATACAAGATGGTGCATTTTGTAAATTTTGTGTAGCATTTTCGAAATCTCATGGTGGACACAATTCTCAATTGTTAGGTAGTCTTGTGTTAAAAAAATGTAATAACTGGAAACACGCGGTTGAAATATTTACCAAACACTCATCTCTAGAATATCACCAAAAATGTTTTCTTGATGCTACTAATTTTTCAAACATTTAAAAAAATCCAAGGATGTCTATTGAACAACAATTAGATACCGGGAGGGTTAAACAGATTACAGAAAATAGAAACAAAATTAAACCAATAATTGAAGCTATTATTTTATGTGGGCGTCAGAACATTTCTCTACGTGGGCATCGTGATGATGGACGTTTAGTTATCACTAAATCTGATGACAATGATTTAAAAAATAATGAGGGAAACTTTCGAGAAATTCTTCGTTATAGAGCTCAAGGAGATTTAAAATTTAAAAATGTGTTTAGAAAGTGATGGTACAATTAAATATACGAGTAAAACAAGTCAAAATTCTATTATTGAAGCATGTAATTCAGTTTTACTCAAAAACATTGTGGCACGTGTAAATGTTGCAAAATGTTTCTCAATACTCGCTGACGAAACAGCCGATATATCGGGCGTGGAACAAATGTCTCTCTGTGTCAGATTTGTTGATTTATATAAACTTGTGCTCTGTGAAGAGTTTTTACAATTTTTACCAGCACATAATACAACAGGTAAAGGTTAAGCAAATTTAATATTAGAAAGTCTTAAGCAATTCGGTGTAGAGCTTAAATTTCTTCGTGGACAAGGTTATGACGGTGCTGCGTCTATGTCGGGAATCTATAACGGCGTTCAATCTCACATAAGACAAATATATCCTTCTGCGATGTATGTTCATTGCTCTGCACATATTTTAAACCTTGTCTCCAAATCATGTGGTGTGCGACCAATCATGAATTGTTTAAGCTTAATTGGCGAAATTCGAGATTTCTTCATACATCCAAAACGAAAAATTTTAATTAAGAACCCAAACGATAAGTTTTGGATTTGGTTTACCCCTATCCAAACATTTGCAAAAAGTTGACATTGATTTAAAAGTAGCAACTAGATTAGCTGATGACACTTTAGAAGAAATGAAATGTTTTAGAAATAATGCTGAAAACTCATTTAAAAAATTATATACAGCTGCACACGATTTAGCTGCACAATTTCAAGTGGAAATAACAATGCCGAGAGTTATAGGAAGACAAGTACATAGAATGAATATTCAAGCAAAATCTACAGAAGAGTATTACCGTATAACCATGTTTAATCCGTACATGGATACTTACATAACTGAACTTGAACAAAGGTTTGTCAATCATAAGATTAAGCTTAACAATTTTCAGTCACTGTTTGATACAGAAGAAAATGAAGATAAATTTATTCAATTAGCCGACTGAGTTTCTAAACATGTAATAGCCGTAGTTAGAAATCCATAAATTGTATAAATAAAAGCTAAATTAGATTCTAAATCTGTTTTGACATAATTTTTTTAACTTTTCCAATGGCTAGCGCATCATCAGCATCTAATAAATGTACGACTTTTTTAATTGCTTTAAAATTCTCACAATAGTACATTGCGGCTTTTAACCAGGTTCCCCAACGCGTAATGATAGGAGAAGGAGGCAATGGTGTTTCTGGGGCTTCTCTTCGGAACAATTCAACGCGAGCTGGCGCCTTTAAGAACACTTTTTTCATATTCAAAATAAGTTCGTCAACTTTTGGAAATTCTGCACGAATTTTCTCGCATACACGATGCAAACCATGGGCGAGGCAGGTTATATGTACCATTTTAGAATAGAATGCTTGAATAGATTTTGCAGCTTTCACCATATATCAATATATGGTGCTGCATCGGTCACAAATAAAATAACATCGTCATGGTTAATTCCATTTGGCCACAAAGAAAAAAGGGTTCTATCAAATAATTTACTTATTGTCGTGTGGTTGGCTTTTTCTAATACTTCCGAAGCAATAAAAAAAATTTTACCTGGTCCATCGGTTAGTAAGGTTCCAATTATCACATTCGCCACATAACGTCCTTCTGTATCTGTTGTCTCATCTATAGACACCCAGATTTTTTTATTAAGTATTTGATTTCTTATTTCATTCATCGTATCTTCGTAGGAATCATTGACATATGTTTTTCTCAGTGTAAATACAGATGGTATATCTTTATTTATGTACTTTTCAAGGAATAAACGTAGATGAGGATTTCCTAATTTTTCTAATGGAATATTTGATTTTAAGAATGCTTCACATAAATCCTAAAAAAGTCAGATTTTCGTGTTGGAGTAGTAATTAGCTGTTGTGTGGCATTTTTATTTTGACAGCTCTTATATGTTTCTCAGTACTTAAGTGCTGAGTGACACTGAAACGTTTTTCGCACTTTACCTTGACTTCGCATATCTTACAAAATAATACACTCCCGTCGAACGCGAAAATATGTTCACCGAATTCAATAACGTAATTTTTACCTCTAACGGTAACTGATGTTTTTACTTTCGGCATTTTAACACAAGTTAATCTAAAAAGGCGGACACTCGATATTCACTCGCGGAACTACGGAAGACGTCAAACAATACCAACGAGAAATAACGAACTGACTGCATTCTATAATCGTGTTATTGTAATAATCCCAATAACAGACTTTTCTAAAAATAAATATATTTAATTGAAAATATATTGTGGAATACCCGTTATCGGCCCGCCGCCGTGCGCCGCGCCGCTAATACAACTATAAATAATTTGGTATTGTTTTATTTTTTTATCAATAGGACATTCAGAAGTAATTTATTTTGTGAATTACATAACATTTGACTCTAATATGCAGTTAATATCAAAAAAGTTGTAAAATATGCGAATAAATAAAAAAACCTCAAAATAAAATTTTGTATTTGGATTTGTTTAAGTATAATTCAAATTTGTAGCTGATCTAGCAATTTTTTAGTCCATTCAGTAAAAACATGCAAATGCATGGACTTCCGGGCCCTACTCATTACTAATAAGGATATTAGATAAGTTTATTATTTTGTCGCAACTCACAACACTATATAAAAATAAATAAATAAATAAAAACCTTTTTTTTTTATTAATTTTATTATACAATATTATTATTTATTTATTTATTGTTTTTAAATTTACTTTAAAGTGTCTTCAAAGTTTTTATCGCTCATACGTGATATTTTCTTAGAACAAATGTTCCCTGCAACACTAAATAATCGCTCTACAGAAGCACTTGATGGTAAAGCTGTGTTGTATTTAATAAAAATATCCTTGACTATTGTCATTGAATTTAGCATGGTGATTGGTGAGATCAGATGTATAAGGAGGATTTATAAAGAGGATTTATAAATCGTTCAATTTCTGGATATGGTTCTTCAACATTTTCATCATTGAAGAGAAATTCGTCTTCACCTTGAGGCAATTTTGAACTAATTTCATCATTATTGTCAAAATTTGGAGTCTCATCAATTTCCAATTGTAATAAATCATTTGCTTCCTTTTTTTCATCTCCGCTCAGCCATCTTAGTTTAAATTTTGGATGTGATACTGCCGCTAAAATAATTGTACTATCTTTTTTCATATTTTTAAACCTCTTTTCCACACCTTGGGCACAAGAAGCAGCTAAAGCTTTGCAGCAACCACCAGTTAAACTCAATTCTTCCAATTGTTTGGATAACCAATTAATTGTTGGTAGAAGATAGCCCATACAAACTGATTTGTCTCCTTGCAAAATATCGAGTTCTTTTACCAAGGGTTCCATAACCTATATAAAGTTGAAAAATTATTTAAAATAAATGATAATAAATATCAAAATTAAATATTATTATACGTACTATGGAATAATCAGTCATAAAATCTCTATCTTTTTTATCAAATCTAGGTATGTTTGCAACATCACAAATTTTTAGGACTTTTTCTTCATCCTTCTTTAATTGGTCTTTTAAACACTGAACAGCTCTAAATGTAGAGTTCCAACGGGTCATATTAGGAATTTGAATGTATTTATTGAGCGAATCATGAATTTCATCAGCAACTTGACTTGATCTATCCTGTTTATTCCAAAGTACTTGCATCTTTCCGAAAGTTGATCTTGCTTGTTTCTTGTATAATACATTAGACAATGCGTTTTCGCTATCTTTTGTAGCAACAAGATTTAAGGTATGGTATATGGCTAGCACATCTATGATGAGGTGGTAAACTATATGCAATATCCTGATCATCAGTATTATTTAAAATATAATCCAGTTCTATTACTTCTATACCATCTTCTGCATCTTCATCACCATCACTATCATCCCTGTTATCATTTTCATGTTCAATTTGGTCCAACAATACTTCTGCTGCAGTCTTCATTTCTGACCCAAAAACTCTGTAATACAAAAAAAAAAAATTTACATTAAATCAAATATTTTCATTTAATTATTCACTTAAAATTAATAATTGACTATTATCATTGAGTATAGATACTATATAATATATAATACTATACTATATATACTCAATGCTATTATATAAAATGTGTTTGTTTTTTATTCATATTAATCAAGATTAATAAATATAGCTAAGTTTTTAATGATCAATTTATTTATATATTTATAAAATAGTATGTAATTACTAATTTATCAAATTAAATCAATAAAAAAATATATTTATCAATTACTATTTAATACAAGTTAAAAATAATAAATGCATTTTTATTTAATTATTACAATGAAAAATCTAAACAATTTAAAATACAACATAGGTAGATAAAGGTTATGCTTACCGAAATACTTCAACAAAATTTGATCCATTATCCGTCACAACTCTAGTAACTTTATTTATGATGCCATATTTGCAGAATACTTTACAAATCATTTTTGTAATAACATCATATGTGTGCCTTCCTTTAATCCTTTTAAATGCTAAAACTGCAGACTCTCTTAATAAAGTTGTGTAATTGAACCAATGAACAATCATTCCAATGTAGCTTCTGTACAAATAATAATAACAATTCAAGTCAAATTTTACACTTAAAATTTTATTTTGTTTTTAAATTTACCTTTTGTAAACAGACCAACCATCAGTAGTAACACATACATATTTTACAGATGTTGACGTCAATTTATTTTTAGCTGTTGTAGATATTTTATGCATGAGAGTTTTCCGATAAATACACTTTCTTTTAGGAAAGCCTTTAGCAATAATATCTCGAAATTTTACTTCTTCTACTATACTAAATGGATGATTTCCCATAATCACAAACTCAGTAATCATAGTATCTAATACTTCTAAAAAATATAAAATGTATTTAAAAAAATAATATTAATAATACATAATAATAATACATATTATGTATTGTTTGACAATTTTTTAACGTCATAAATTATGAAAATAATAAATAAATAAAATTATAACTCATAATTATTACAGGTGATCATAATAAGGTTGTATTATATTTATATAAAATAACCATCATAATTATCAACTACCTACCTATATACTTAAAATATTTGAATTTTTTTTTTCAAAGAAGTAACAACCAATGTGTATATGTAATTAACAATTTAATTATAATTTTTTAATACTTTAGACAATGGTTAAGAAAATATAAAATATCAGTCTATTTAATTTATAGTTAATTATTTATAATCATTAATCAGCTAATTATTTTATAATTTATCTAGTTTATTATTAAACTAGATTCCGGTGTTTGTCATCCCGCCTACGGCGGAAAGACTGTGTGCGCGGTGGTGCATCTTTGTCGGCTATGCTGGGTTTTTTGATCCAGCCTGCGGGGGGAAGGGGGGTCGTCGGGTATTATGTTTTGTCGTGTTGGCAGCACTTTTTAAGCGGTAATTTTTGAACTCGGAAGAGTGTCTAGTCGTAAGTCACGCGATTCAAGTCGATCGTAAGACACAGCCAGCCAGGTAGGCAATCCGACAACGTCGGATCGCAGACCATGCCCCATTCGTGTATGCCGGTTCTTGAGTGTGTGTGTTGAAATCGGAAATTCGGATTCTGGGTTTGAGTGTCTAGCTATCAGTCATCTCGGGTAAAAGTCGATTCCCGAGTGTCGGATGCAGTGGGGGACACTGGGGGTGTAAGTCGCTCGTATGCAAGTAGCTAGTCAGGTAGGCAATCCGACTACGTCGGATCGCAGACCATGCACCGGGCGTGTATGTCCGGTTCTCGTATGTGTGTTGAAATCGGAAATTCGGATTCTGAGTTTGAGTATCTAGCTATCAGTCATCTCGGGTGAAAGTCGATTCCCGAGTGTCAGATGCAGTGGGGGTGTAAGTCGCTCGTATGCAAGTAGCTAGTCAGGTAGGCAATCCGACTACGTCGGATCGCAGACCATGCACCTGGCGTGTGTGTCCGGTTCTCGTATGTGTGTTGAAATCGGAAATTCGGATTCTGAGTTTGAGTGTCTAGCTATCAGTCATCTCGGGTGAAATCCGATTCCCGAACGGACAATCCGCCTACAGCGAAAAGTGCTCGAAACGGCCGTTCAAATATGAAAAAGTATACAGGAGGTAATAAAATTGTATTTGTTGATAATTATAGAGAACAGTTATCAGGTGTTTTATGTTAGGCTTCACTGTAATCAATGTAATCATTGTTATGTTTTCGCGGTTATAACAAATAAGTCGACAAAATCTAATTTTCTGATTGGATATTTTCTAAAATATACCTTGCATGTATATTTATTTAATTATGAGAATTAAGTCAAATTAACAAATAGATAATTATATTGGTGAATAACAAATTTTATTGAAATGTACTACTATCCTATTAAACGTAGGTATCTATAAATGAATACACTACACATACTCTCGTTTCCGACACACTACTCCACCCCGGGACTCGAATTTTCGAAAAAAACGGCAAATGAAGCAGTCATATTACAGTCGTACTATTTTTTAATATAGTATTTATAATCTGTAGCAGTTTTTAACCAAATCGGAATCACGTAAAAACTGTAATATATCAAGTAGGTACTACACGTAGGTTAGTTATACGTTATTATAATGTGTTAATAAAAGAAACATGTAGGTGCGTCGGTAAAATCAAGTATTAATTAAATGTTAATTTTAATTATTTTTTTGCCCAATAAATATCGTCAAACGAATAATAATAATATATATAATAATATAATGCAAATTTTAAAAAAAAATTAACACTTTCGTTAAAAATGATAAATGTGACGAAAAAAAAAACGCAAAAATAAGAAATCCGATTTAGTACGGCCGCCTCAAATAACCGAAAATCCCGGATGGCGGTTTCGAACCCACGACCCTCGAGCCACCTATCCTAACGCCTAACCAACCTAGCCACCTACTCAGATGAAATTTCGAGGCAAATGCGCAAATGTATGACTCTTAAGCCGCGTCGCCGTGCTCGCGGCGATAAAATAACATTCTTATCACTTTCCTTATCAATAAAAACAATATTTAAGAAAATCCCAATAAATCCTATCAAAAACTCAAACCCCGAGTTTCCCCTTGGCGAGGTGGGTGTTAGTACTCTCCCGGACCAAAATCCATCAAAAAAGCAAAATCCAAAAAGGGGGGGAGGAGGTGCCCCCGTTCCCTAAAGCGGAAAACGGTAGTATTCATAAAAAGAATGGGTTCCCCCTTGGTCCGAGGTCTTTAACTTGAATTCCGGCCGAGTTATACTCAACTCAAAATGTGGGGGGGGTGGGGGCTTTGGTTCCCTAATGTTGAAAATTCATCTGGGGCCTAAAAAATTGAGATGCCCATTGGTACGGGGTCTCTAAGTCGAATACCGGCTAAGTTATACTTCGTCAAAAATAATTACTCGTTTAATGGGTCCCCCCACTCCGCCCGACGGTCGCGGGGTAATCGATTTATAAGACGTTATTATCACTTCAAAAAATTGAATAACACGGGTTTTTTTTTAATAATAATAATAATGTTCGAAAATATTAGGATCGATAAGGAAAAGGGAGATAAGCGAGCGGAATTTATAGCGAACGCGCGGGAAGTATTGTGATTGGTCGTCATGGAAGAAACGCGGAGTGCCGTCAGCGCTCCCCGCGGATCTTATACGCGCTATTAGCGTTCTATTATATAAGATGATTCTATTGAAAAATAGTTAAAAATAATTATTTGTTTGTCTATGCTAACACTGGGCATAATCATATTATTTGGATATTTTTCTATGTTTATTCTTAATACAACTGATTCTTATCTCTTATGATGTTTAAACTAAAAATACTTTAAATTTAAAATAACATGTCTTCAATTGTTATAAACATAGGTACCTATAGTAGTGTTAGGTAAATAATTTTTATTGAATTAAATAGGTATGACAATTTTTAAAAATATGTAACTAGTTTAATATAATATGTAGGTAACATTGTTAAATATTAAAAAATTATATTTTAATAACATACCTTGATTAATAGTTGGTGGTTGAGAAAATGCATTTATGATGGACAGTTGTTAATTCTTTTTTGATACGTCATCTTCATCTAGCGCACGCTTATTAATGTTTTCCGCGGTAATTCGAGTATCCATTGATTTGTTTATATCAATATTATGTTTAGCCTGTAAAAATTTAAATTTTTATCATACTCTTAATAATTAATAATTTTTATATGTAATTAATTAAAATAATTACTATAATATGTATTTAATAATAGGAGCTTAAATAACTACAATTGCTATTTCACATATTTTTTTGTTATATTGTTTTTAATACATTAAAAAGGCTGGTCGCTGGGTTCAATACAAACTATTATATTTAAAGAAAAATGGTGAAGTATAAATAGTTTGAATGTTAGTTGTTACTTACTTTTAAATGCTTCTTCAAATTTGATGAACTTATCTTGGATGTTGATAATGGTTTTGAATTATCCACACATAATTTACATTTTACAAGAAATTTTTTCCATTTTCGGATTGCTTTAAGATTTCAAAATACTTATCGTAAGTCAGCCAAGGTAGGAGCAGGTTCATACGTTCATTTTCATCACAATCCATGTTCGTGGATGTTAGAATCACTCAGAAGAATTTGTTCGAAAAAATAATCTTACAATACGGTTCAACGGGTAACTGTCGAGTATCGA